AACAATATGTATAGGATTGACGTATTATTAATGTTAAACAAATATTATAATATTTAACTACTTTATCATGTTCATATTCACTATGTAGTCACAATAGTGTCTTTTACATTCATTCGTGTGTGTATGATACGTTGCAATACGTTTATCCGTAGCATTGTTTCATAATTTCACTAAAACACTAACAAATATATAAGACTCATTAATAATTATTATTATATTTCATTCACTTCTTTCTTCAGATATAAACACACGTAGTTCTTTTTTTTTATACAGGCAACACTACGCACATCTCAGAGAAGGTAGTTCGATGTGTTTTTTTAGGCTTACCCACTTCTTCTTCAAATAATAATTTCGAGTAATTAAGTTTTTTAAAGTGGGAACTATGATGGAGATAACAAATAAGGATAAATTAAAATTCGGCAGATGGACTAAATTTTGCATCATAATTATTGAATTCCTTAAGTGCGAGAAACATTTGTCGTTCAAGACGTTTGGTTTATAATTAACTGTATCTTACGACTGGGCAAACTACCTTATTGTGCAAAGTGGTAGCAGAGGAAACTTTTTGAAAGTAACTAGACTCTTTTACATTTCTCATTAGATAATAACATAGTCATTTCAATTGATATCGACCTGACATTGCCTCTGATGCACAGGTAATCTTCACGGAATCTATTTTAACAAAATCGAAAAAAAAACATATATCGCAGTCGAACATATAACCTCCTCTTATTAAATTTTGAAGTCGGTAAAAAAGGAAAGATTATCACTATTATATTTGCTGCATTTAAATAAACACATACTGTTTGATATAATTGCCTGTAAGATAAAATGACCACAAATATAATTTGTTAATATCGGAAGACTGAAGCGAATGCAATATTATGTTTATTACATATTATTATCCTTATATAAATTCCTTAAAAAACTTAATTAAACTCCTCGAATATTCACAATCACCAAATACGTCAATCACCAGTACAGAAAATAGATGTTAGAACAAAATTAAGGCTCACACTGTCCGTTTGACAAATCGCCCCCTGCCACCGTCGCACGCGCATAGTACACCGGCGTTTGTTATTCATTGTTGTGCATAGTTGACGAGGTAAAAGTTATAACAACAATAAATGCGTTATAAAACACACTACGCGAACCAAAACCCGCCTCAGTTTGCTACAGAGCCGCGCAAGGTCAAGAGCATATGTGCTCTTTTTAAAACAGTCGGTGCACAGCCGCGATGTGACAGCCTCGTCTTATATATAAAAAAAGAAAAATAAGCAATTCAAAAATAAAATAATAATTAAAAACAAACGGATTCAGCTAGTGTTCTTAATATAAAAATCTCTTGTGCACGTGTGTGCGTCAGGGCGACGACGCGTTCCAAATTTAAACTCACTGAACGACTTTTCCGCGAAAACATACAGTGTCACTTCTGTAGGAAGAAAATCTACATCCAAATATCTGACACACGTGAATTTTCCCACCTGAAAAGACTACTGATTTGTGTGAACACATATTCATTTAAGTTATTGTGAATTGGCTGAAGAAGATTTGAAAGAGTAAGTATCGTGTTTGGAAAAACATAATGACTGTGAATTCTTTACATGAAAAATACCAAATCGCAATCGTATACAATCAAAATGTTGGATTCCAATCTCATATTCGCCCATAACAATATACCACGAGTTTCAAATAACAATTTCAAAGATAAATATAAAAATAATGAACAAAAATACGAAACATATTACTAATAACTAGTTGATTTGTTCTTCTCCGCAGTTCTTTTTTAACCGACTACGTTGAAGCAAAAAGGGAGGGTTATAATTTTGACCGGAAGTATGTATATTTTCTATACAGTATAGTTTATGATACATGAGTGTAACGTACTTTTATATTGGTTAAAGAATCTTCAAAATTAGTTAAGTAGTTTCTCTTCTCTTTTCTCTTTGCAATATCGACTTCTGTCCGACATCATCAACGATTCACACAATTCGATATACACAAAACCTCATTGTAAGTCATAAATTATTTAGTGTGTGAAAATAGTACGAATTTTTTTATTAGGTTTGCGTTTTAAAAATAATTTGAATTATTGAATTATTTCCCTTTAAAATTTAGATTTGACACACATTTTTATTTAAAAAGTAAGCATAGAAATACATTTTTATTTAAAAAGTTAAGTGCAAAAGAAGTTTATACTTCCTTTACTTTATAATTTTGCAAGAAACTACATAACTGTGTAAATGTTCTTTGACACCTTTAACAAAAACACCCTCAGAATCGGTCCACTAGTGACGTACATAGGTACCTTACATAGAATAAACATTCATAACAATCCAGTCAAGTTTGAGTCGGACTCGCTCACATAGAGTTCCGTACAAGAAAAGACCAAAAAAAATAATCACATTTCGTTGTATGGGAGCCCCCTTACATATATTTCTTCTGGTTTGTAGTTTGAAGCAACAATAGAAATACATCATCTGTCAAAATTTCAACTGCCTAACTTTCACAGTTCATGAGAACCAGCCTGATGACAGACAGACAGATAGACAGCGAAGTTTTAGTCCGTTTTACCCTTTGGGTATGTATCCCTATAAATAATCACTAGAATTTACTCTTCCCCTTTTTTGAGACTCCTCCTTTTTTTAAGTTGGCTAAAATTAATGCACATGTTAAAATAAACTGCGTGTATCTAAACTGTTCTATTAACTACATTCGATTTAGTAATTCACGATGGTTGTTTAGACACGGTCACGGCTGCACGTTGCTTTATATTAATTCTCGATGCAAATCGATCATAGCCTAGGTGATTAAATTAAATTAAATCCGTCACTTTTCATTTTCCATTATTTTTTTAGATTATAAATTGTAAGATAAGTATACTGGTGGACAGTAAAATTAGACTATGTACCAAGCATGTTGTCTTGACTGTGTTACAAAATAAAATCAATTAAAGCTTATTTTTACTGTGTGTTAAATTTTAAATAAACTATGTATTATCTAAATACATCTAGTAAAATAAAAATGTTTGAATTAATAAGTTTTGATAATTTACGCATTCAGTTAATGACTCACTAATTTTTGGTAAAAATTTATTGACATGTAAAATTATAAAATTCTAAAAAACCATAATCAAGTATTATTATCGCATAATTTAAAACAAGTAAATGAATTAGGTACTATAATTGCATTGTAGAAGAACAAAATGAAAACTTACATTCATATTTATTAAACAAAAACCTGTTTGCGGTTTACATACAGACAGTCGATTATTGTTTTATTAATGGAACTTCAATTTAAACAAAATGATTGTAAATTAATATCGTTTCGGCAAGTTAATTGCAGCTTCCGATCTGGTTTTTATATGATATTTCACAATAATAAAGTATACAAATATCACTTGTCAACCCGTGACCTATGACCTATATACTTAATATATTTATAATTCTGCTTTCGTATAGGTTGTATGTGTTAAAAGGCGAGGTTACAGTGAGTGTGCTCTTACTGAATAACTCTTATTATAGTAGTTAGTTAGAACTCAACATTAAAAGGAAAAAATATAAGATTACGTATAGGTAATTAGAATTACTTTATAAAAAATTAGTACACCTCATTTCAAGTCATATTTCATATCTTTCTATATCTTTGATTGGCCTCGTGATTTTATTTCGTTTTTGCTTCCCCTTTACGCGTACTCTTATATAGCCTTCGAAAAATCGTTGACAGATATGTAAGCATTTGTAAGCAATGTATTTATATTATCTATCTATGTATATCTTAAAGAAATACGAAATCGTTATTCAAATAAATTATCAAAAGTATTATTTTATTTGGATAAATGTGAAATTCGCCAGTACCAGGTTCCTGAGATGAGAAGAATCCATAAATATACTATTTAACTATTTTTATTAGATAAATGTAATTTACACGCTTTCATTTTTGGGAATATAGACACAGCTGCACTTTAGCCTTAATTAAAAAATGACAAAATTCCGTTCCCATATCAAATTTTAATATCAAAAAATTACTGTTAAATATCAATTAAAGAAATGTTTTAAATAAGAAACTAATTTTTAAAACTAAACTGTCGCTAATCGGGATTCTTCAAATCCTACTACCTACTAATATTATAAATGCGAAAGTTTGTGAGGATGGATGTATGTATGGATAAAATTTCACGCAAAAACTTCGAAACGGATTTTGATGAAAATTGATATATAGATAATCGTAAGCCTGGATTAAAATATATAGGCTACTTTTTATCCCACTTAACAGTTCCCTAGAGACCATGCGGGCGAAGCCGCTGGTGGAAATTAGGATTTTTCTATAAGGCTACGTGCCAAACGATGTTTATTTGTCATTGCTATGGAAGTCACCCATAGTCACTTGTTTAAGTGCGCACGCCATCGTTATGACTCTAAAGCACAGTGACTAGAATACACTACTGCAAGTGTAACTCAAGATAATATCAATATCTTAGTACAGAGAGTTGTCCCATTTCGATTCTGGAGTTTTCTTGCTGTCGAGATAAATTAAAATATACGTTTGAGCTGTCTTAAATGAACAATGGTGATTGTGTTACTTAAATAATAACAGGTGTCGTATAATCGAAAAGCTGTATGACAGAAATACGCGTATGTAACATTATATTGTTGATAGCATGCATGCACATACTTAATGCGACAGCGGTGTGGATGCTATCAAATATACTATTTATTTATACCTGATTTGGCAATCTTAAACTAGTAAATCAAATATTTCATAGTTATTAACTCATAAATTGCAATTTCCATTATTTAGATATTAGTTTAGATGAATAAATAAATAGCTAATATTGGAAAACTCGGTCCACAGACTTGAACATTATTCACTTGCTACGAGTATTATAGTCAAGCCTAGGACTTATCTCGCTATTTAAAATATAATTTCCGTATAAATATAATATTTCATGTGAAATCTGGTACCTGGATAATAGTATGATCGTATTCATATTTTGTAGTTCACGATGAGCGGGACGAATGAAGCGCGTAGTTCTGGATATGATAAAACCTTTCCTTTACGATTGGATTAATAGAAGAATATAATGTAAACAATATATATATATGTGTTCAGAAAATTAAAGTGGTAATCGAAAAACGGAAATAGAACAACAAAGATTATTATTTATCAATTAATGCCTATAAATTACATTTCATATAGGCGGTAGCTACCGCTCTATCGCCATTGCATCTAAAATTGTTGTGACTTATACAGAAATTAGTTTTCTAAATCTAAGTTCCGAGACTATACCAGTTAATACACTTTTTAATAATTAAAAAGAAAAAAACTTTCAATAAACTTTTCTTAAACGTATGTATGAACATAAAACTTCTCTAGCACCTGAGACTTAAATTTCTTAAGTATTTTTTCTATCACGTATTATGACTATGTTTATGTTTATTTAATCTAGAAATTAAATCAGTAATGCAAAATAGTGCTTATTATATGAATTTGTATCACAGAGGCGCGCGGTTGGCAGGCGCGCGGTGGGGAGAGCGGCGCGCGCGCAACATGCTGGCGAGCTTCAAAGGTTTCTGGAAGGCGTGCCGCTATGGGGACCTATATATGGTAACGTTCTTGAGATTTTTTTAGGATAAATCTAAATGCTGAGTTTTACTAACTCCGAGAAGGATCTCTATACCTTCTGAAGTATCATCCGTTAGAAAACTCTTGCACATTTTTTATGTTGAAATTACTTAAAGATCTGTGGGTTAAATGATCAGTATACAGATCAGTGTGATTTGAATTTTTTTCAGTTTTTTTAGACATCATATATTAATTAAGCTTCTTGCGATTCCCTATAACTTTGGGTTAAGGATAAAGGATTTAGTAAAAGAACCCCTCAAAACGAAACAAGTCAATAGTAAACTAAAAAAAGAAATATTATTGTTGTATATAGAAATAAATGTATGTTTTGTGGAAATTGAATTGTAATTTGATTATGAATGCTTTACAAAACAATATACTTACCTAAATTGTTTCTTTACGGTCGCGTGTATATGCGCTCATGCATACATTCTACATATTTAACTTATCATAATACTAAATATAAATTAAACGATTGTCAAGACAAGACGCTTGCGCGTTTGGTGTGTTGCACCGGGCACTTTACATTGCGCAATATAGAGATAAAACTAAGCTGCTAGTAACGAGAAAATTATTAGTTTCCTACCTGCGTTTATAATTAATTTTTAATTATTAACTATTTTATAGTAATGAAGGAAGCGAGATATGTGTGGTTGTAATGAGTGACGACATTTTAGACCTAATAAAAGTAACAGAGGCATGCTCCGTTGGTTTGCACATGTGGAAAGAATACCAGATGAAAGAATGACAAAACTTAAAGACAAAAAGAAGGATGTAGAAGACGGGGAAGCCCAAGACACAACTTTCACGGTCAAATCGATCGCGTGTTGCACGTTGATTATGAAGCCAACAAAACCGGCGACAATGCTATGAAAAGAGCCGAGCAGTCGAAAGACGTGTGACGATCGTAAAGTGCTTTCAATAAGCTTATTTTAATAAAGAATATTTTGATTATGACTTTATTATGGTAGGATTTTGCACACACGGAAAAACATCAACAGTACCCAACCTATAAATTGTTAGTGATACACAAGTCTTCACTGTTGAGAGAAACAAAAGAATCGAGAATCGGTATCATCCACCAAGCAGGTCCAATGCAGATTGCTAGGCGCTAACGATTGTTATTTTATTTTACCAAAACGTGCACTCTCTTATCGCATCTGTTCTTTGTCTTTTACGTATTTTAACTGAAGGTTTTTAACTTCAAAATGAAAACAATTTTACCATTAGATCTTAATAATAATATTCATGAAACTATCAGACTAGTCACAAGTTCGTCCATAATGAGGGAAAGTCAAGATGCGCGAACATTAGTATATATATTATGGTTTCCATTCCAAAAATAAACCAAGTGACAGACAACATGGGTGTCAGTCGGTCAAGGTCCTTATAAATAATGTATTTAATATCCAATAATCCATTTTCTGTTCTACACAATATTATCGTTAAAATGTGATATGTGAATTTCGTAATAGTCATCTAATATAGACAATGGCATCTAGCCAAACGACCGTTCAACACATTTAATGATCGTTTTGGCAATTTTATATTGCTCCCGATTTAGCAATTTTTTATTGAACAATATTGTAAATTCAAGGGCTTTGCAGTAATTCACAAACTCAACCAAGTCTATTGACAAATAAATTGATACCTACTACTAAAGTATATATTTTCCTGTGTAATGTTGAGATAAAAAACGTTCTCGTTTTGTTCAAAAGTCTTTTTCAATAATTTTTTGGTTACAAAGTTTTGGTTTATATAAAAGACTTTACGCTACCTAAAACTTTTATCGAAAATGTTCCGCTTATTAAACTGTAATGTAAATGCAAAAGTTGGTGATGTTGTACATACAACGATGTGCGTAACAAATATACATTATTTGTTACGCATTCACGCAAATTCTGCAGATCGGACTAGGATGAATTTTGGAACGTGTAGGCTACTTTTATCCCACTGAAAGATTTTCTAGGGATGACGCTAGTGAAGCTGCTGGCGGAGAGCTAGTAGATAATAATCCTACCTATTACTGAGAATAAGTTCTTGAGAACATTCATATAAGAACACACAGAAACTAAAATAGAATCTGCTTTACATTTTTTTATAACGGCCTTACATTTCGACGTTAATGTATTAGTTTTCCTTCAAATAATATATAATATTGTTTATTGTCAAACAGTTTTGGTTCGGTGGCATTTGTTTAATTTTCTACTCGTCCGGCATATTATACAAATATATAGCAAGCGGCGCGACCTCATGCCTTCACCACTTGGACGCCTGTCTTTACACGGTACGGCACAAAGCTTAAATGTCACCCGTGTTTCCGGAGTTCCGGAGAGGCGTTAACAGTCATTTCCCCTTGAACCGAAGCTCGCTTTAATTTCTACGAATCGACAAACATTTCTGTTATTGACGACCTCCGTGGTCGAGTGGCTCGCACGGCAGTTTCAAGGCGGAGATCCCAAGTTCGATTCCCGCTCGATTCAATGTATAAATTGACCTTGTCTATATTGTCTCGGAATTGGGTGGTCCTTCGTTGTAAATTTCCTGATATAAGTGCTTTAAAGGCAACTTCATTTTAGGTCTTAGCGATGTAAATATATATTAAACTACATCACATACGTATAATGTACTTTAATATTTATTTATTGTTGTCTTAAATATCTGTACTTAGCCAACTATATGGTTGAAATTACATTTTTCTTAACTGGTTGTTTCAAAGAGAAAAGACTAATTATCTAAGAGAGTCACGAGTCGCTCGGTTTCGTAAAAATATTATGTTTATAAAACAGACTGCTTAGAAGTTATCCCGTGATCTATTTTCTGTATTTTTTCCAAAATTTTCCATAAGTGACATCACCCATACAAATTAGACATTCATTAGAGCTTAAAGGAGTCATTTAATCTTAAAGGACGTTTGTGCAACAGACCAATAGTTTGCAAAACTTTTTAAAAGTGTACTGAACTTTAAAATCGGTCCTGCAGTTTCCGATAAAATCGGCTGATTCCGATAAAAACCACACAACCGAGTGATTCTAATGTATTAGGGTAAACTTTTTTGTCTTTTTTAATACGGAAACCTAAAAATGAGAGCCAATGTAAATATGTACCTATTGAATTATGGTATAGTATGGTGAAGGCACAGTTACCTAACCTCGGCGTACAGATGTGATGGCATACTAACCGCTCTGTTAATAACCAGCATTGAACTTGAGCCGGTTGTCAATGTCGCACAGTAGCTACTAGTTATGTAATTTTCGTCAAACACGTGCTATTATTTGCATTACTTTGCATTTTTTACGGTAAAACAAAATTTGTTATTGTCATTATAAAAAAATACAATCAATCTTTTATTCATGTTGGCTGTTATCAAGCATTGGTGAAAGTTGAAAAACTATTTCATTTGAAGCATTTTGAATTTTGGAGCATTTTGAAGGATCGATAGGTTATTATGACAAGGTTTCTCAAAGTGTATTTGAGACAATGAAGGTTGGAATTGTTCAAAACTACTATTAAAATTGACCAATTTGCGACAATAAACCCGCCCGACACATTAATATTGAAGAGATATTTTTTGGTTGGTTTTGGTTTTTGTGCATTTCTGACACATTTTATTTAAAGAAAGCTTTACTGCTACCACTTTTTTTGAACATCCAATTTTATTTTCTTTGCGTTAGAGGTTCACAGACATCTGGAATCTTTTACTGGGGTTCATGAAGCCAAAATTTGAGAAACCCTGGGTTATGAGGGGTGCGGTAGATATTTGTAACGCGTTACACTATTACTAGAACGCTATTACTTCTGCATACGGTGAGACATTTTCTTCAGTCGAGAGGGACTTAGGGGATGCAGATCTTTTTACGTAAGACACAACTTATGTCGGCTGAACAGAATTATACTATAATGATGAATGATAAACCATCCATATTAAAATATATCAGTACTTCAAAAATGTATCGTTGAATCAACGCTGGCAAATCGCGTAACTATCTCTTTGAGATCGGATTGAATAAAATTGCACTTAACGTTTTAATACGGTATGTTAGAAACAGTGTGTACGTCCAATCATCATCATCATCATATCAACCGAGAGACGCCCACTGCTGGGCATAGGCCAATATCCTAAAAATATTATAAATGCGAAAAGTTTGTAAGGATGTATGTATGTTTGTTAGTCTTTCACGCAACCGCTACCTACGGCTTTTCATGAAAGTTGGTATAAGGATAATAGTGTTATAATCATGTTATAATAGCATTTGAGCAACAAAACAGACTAGTAAAGTGGTTTATATTGTGGATCTTTTTGTATTATATTTCATGCAACAGTTGAAAGCAAGTCAGCACAACAGTCCCAATTCATCCTATCAATTTTTAAAACTTAATCTGTCGACAATTAATTTAAAAATTGATCTCAGAATCAGAATTCTGATACTCCGTTCAAAATATGCATGGACACTTGAAGATTAATTCATGTAAATTACATCCGTGTAAAGCCGGGGCGAGTTAGTTAGTTTAACAAAAAAAAAGTAATTTTGCATAATTATAAAGCGATCTGTTCATGTATTGTTTTAATGAGTGATGTAATGGAAATATTGTACTAAAATTAGTAACTCAATTAAGACAACATGTTTTCATATTACTTCATTATATTCATTGAACCTATTGAAGAAGTAATAGTCCGTGTTAATACCTGACTTCGTTTTTTTTCGTATACTATTTTTAAACTAATTTACTATTCAAACAATTCTTTATAAATTTTTATTCTGCCATCGTTTACTTTTAATTATGTAAGTAATATAACTTTTCCATATTACTTAGCAAATTTATATTCAGGGTTCTGATTTCTGATACAAGAAGACTTGGAAAATATATCTATTGTAAAACTAATATGAATAAATTTCTGTAAAGTTACAGTTTGACATTAAAAATATGTTGAAGTAATTATAGATATTGCAGTGCCTATAGATGTGACGTACATAAAAATG